AATTATTTTAGAATTATTATTTGAATTTTTATGAACGTCCGGATATTTTATTTATGAAATTTGGATTTGTAAAATTAAAGATATTGAATTTATAATAGTTTAAATATTCAAATAAATATTCTAAAATTGTTTTTGTATAAAATAAAATTTCATGGCGGCTCATTGTGCACATGGGCCCACCATGTTCTAAAAGGTGGGGCCATGCATGCCTTCCTTGAAGTGGCACGTCCCACCTCTTCCCACTTTCTATTTTATGCAAAGATTTTGTTTTCTGGTCCATGTGACTTTATGTTTTGGTAATAGTCAATTGTGACATGCGGTCAAATGTGACTTGGAAATATATTGACCATATATTAACTAAATATTGAAGTAAATATTGACTTGACATATCTTTAAAAGATTTTGTAAAAGTATGAGAAGGATTATGCTATTTTATAGTATGCATAATATTTTCATTGAATTTAATTTGACTTAATTTCTATTGATAGGAAAATGGTTTAGGAAAGGGGGACAATGGTTCACGCACCTTCCATGGTCCATCTATGAAATGGATGACTTTGATCTCTCACTCTATAAGTTACCCTTGATCGACGGTCTACATTCAATCTCAGTTAAGAGATAACTTATGGGAAACCCTAAGAAACCCTAAACCCAATTTTGTACTATTAATAGGGGTGTACGCCCTACTCTCTACACATCTCTCTTCTCTGTCTCTAAGGGGCACGCCCCGCTCTCTCCTCCTTCTCAAAGCTTTCTCTCTCCTCCCTCTAAAGCCTCTCTGTTTAGACCTCTCTCTCTCCTAGCCTATCTCTAGAAGGGCGCACCCCAACACTAGGTCACCTCTTAAGTCTCTCTCATCTTGAATAATATAATGGTTAAGTAGTACGGAATATGCCAAAATAAGTCTTGGGGTTAAGATCTGGGTCGGATAAATTCTAAAAGGGTTCTATAGAATTAGTTTGCCCTAACCTTGTTTTTTCAGTTGAGATTGAAGCTAGATCATCGATCACGCGCCATCGGATGGTGGTGACTCGGTGTGAGGTATAATAAGCCTAGCTGAGGTAATCTCCAGCATTCTCTATTTTATTTCTTACAATTTAATCTTTATATTCTCAAGCATAAGAAGTGGCATCAAGGTTTTTAAGATCTTGGATTTGTTTATTTTATTTTATGTGAAGCAAGAATTATTGTGGTAAGACTATTTGTTGTGATCTTTGTCAAAAAAAATATTTTGTGAAAGTATGGGAATGATAATGCTATTTTATGGTATGCATAATATTTTTATTGAATTTAATTTGACTTAATTTCTATTAATGGGAAAATGGATTAGGAAATGGGGATAATGGTTCATACACCTTACATAATATTGATGGCCCATCTATTGACTGGATGGGTTAGATCTCTCACCTCGAAAGTCACTCTTGATCGACGGTCCACATTCAATCTCAGTTACGAGATAAACTATGGGAAACCCTAAAAAACCCTAAACCCAATTTTACACTATAAATAGGGGTATACCTACTACTCTCTATACATCTCTCTTCTCTCTTGTCTCTCTCTCTAAGGGGCACACCCCACTCTCTCTCCTCCCTCTCAATACTTTCTCTCTCCTCCGGCTAAAGCCTCTCTCTCTCCCTCTCTCCTAGCCTATATCTAAGAGGACGCGCCCCAACCTTAGGTCGCCTCCTAAGTCTCTCTCTCTCATCTTGAATAACATAAGAGTATGGGATATGCCAAAATAAGTCTTGGGGTTAAGATATGGGTTTGATAAATTTTAAAAGGGTCCCATAGAATTAGTTTGGCCTAAATTTGCTTTCCCGGTTGCGATTGAAGCTAGATCGTCGATCCCACGCCATCAAATGGTGGTGACTCGATAAGCCTGGTTGAGGTAATCTCCGGAACTCTCCATTTTATTTCTTACAATTTAATCTTTATATTCTCAAGCATAAGAAGTGGCATCAAAGCTTTTAAGATCTTGGATTTCTTGGTTTTATTTTATGTGAAGCAAGAATTATTTTGGTAAGACTATTTGTTGTGATCTTTGTCAAAAGAAAAGGAAAAGAAAAGAAAATGTGAGAAAAGAAGAAAATAAAAATATATATTCCCCGGCAATATCTCTTTCTTTCAGGTATGAGTGGTATTTGGGTTTACCCAAGGATTATTTGAAGGTTTTAGATAGTAATTCTATGGGGCTTTCTCTCTCTCCAATATGGAAGATGGGAAACAATATTTAAGCTTTAATTGTGAAACATTGGAGGTACCCATTTTTTTATTCAGCAAAAATATATGAGAGAATGTGGGCTGATTGCTTTCTCTCTTACCCCTTGAAATGGCTTTGATTAAAGTGAAAAAATCAAAGATTGGGTTGAAGAATTGTAGAAACTTCCGCCTGTATCTCCATATGAAAATTCCTCTAATTTGAATCCAAACGGTGATATTTCACAGAAGAGAGTTGTTGGGATTTTGCATGAATTGCTAGTCCTTTTTATGGATAATTTAAAAGGGAGAAAAAAATTGCTCTGTATATAGTTGGGCTTGGCTGTGAAATATGGCCTCTTTTATCTTTGTTATAATCAGAAGTCTGAGCTTTCTTTCTTGTTGTCATGAAATTCGAAGGCAAGAGGGGGAGTAGGAAGGGAGAGAGAGAGGGATTTCTCCCTGTTTAAGCCAAGGGAAGAAAGGTCCATCTTTATCCGCCCCCTCCCTTGTTGCTCTTCTTCCTCTGCCCAGAGTTTCACGCACTCTTCCCATAACATCCTCATCTTCCCCATTCTCCTCATTTCTAGGCACCCAGCCTCTTCCATTGGGTCACTCTGCCTTGTTCCCGCAATGAGACTACTCTAGTTCAATGTTTAAAAAAAAAAAAAAAAAAAAAGCCAGGGGAAGAGAGAGAGCACAATGAGGGGGCTAAAGGAAAAAGAAAAATTAAATCGTATCCGCAAGATAAAAATGACATGGGAGAGTACGAAGAGAGAGAGTAGGAATGAAGCAAGAGAGAGAGAGAGGGAGTTTGCAGGTGACATTAAAACCTACCTCGAGATATGGAGTAGAATCCAATGATGGTACGTTAGAATCTGATGATGGTACGTTGGGGTCT